GCAATGCCAGAGGCAGAGTCAAGCCGCTGCCTACCTAATTATACATAGTTATATAATATATATGTTTTTTTACCCGGGAGGATAAAATTCAAGAATAATGGTAGTCAAATGAGCATTTTTTTATAAATTAATATTTAATTATTTTCGTGGAAATCAATCGTGAACATATTTGTTAAGTACGTATTTCATTAGAAAAATTGGTACCCGCCGGTGGGATTCGAACACCGTTGCATCGCTAGATACGAATGCACCGGACGTCTTATCCTTTAGGCCACGCTGACTTCAATAACTATTTATTGAGAAAATCCGGCGAAAAACCCAGTGAGCGGTGTTTGAGGAGCCTAAGAGCACCGAGAGTGGATCCGGGGGATCCGACAAGACATACTTCGAGCGACGGCGGCTTTGCGTTGCCCGTTCACCTGGGTCAGATAGGATTTTGTCATATATAAGTATTTTTGTTTGTTCTACTGACAAATGCTTTCCGATCCGTGGCCCGCTTGCGAGCTGCGTCTCTGAACTCACAGTTGTGCTCGACAGTGTAGTGACCGTGAATACATTCGCGTTTACAATTCGGTAGTGTGCGCCGTGTGCGGACGTGCATTCCGATCCGTTGGTCGCTTGCGATCTGCGTCTCGGAGTCCATTTTTGTGTGCTGCAGTGTTGTAACCGCGAACCCACCCCTTTACCAACTGTCTTTTTCAAGGCAAAACCAATCGCTACGATCAGGCTTCCTGTGGCACTATCACAGGCTAGCGATTTCCTAACCCTTCCCAAAACAACAGTCTTTTTCAAGACTAGACCCCCGCTCGTGGTTCCGCCCGCTGTAGCATTATACAGCCCGAGCGGGTTCCTTTCCTTTTCCCCGCCGATTGCCGTTTTCACGGCATAGGCATTCCCCCCCCTGCTCCTTGCTGTCCTGCAGCACAGGGGGGTTACAAATCCTATCCGGGGCCTCGCCTTTCGGCGAGTTCAACAAAAGTCCCGGGGCCGCCCCCCCCGGGCAAGAAGACAAGAAGAAATGGAAGACTGTGAAAGTGCTAGTGATATTGTCGGGTTCCTTCGGGATAGGTACCCGTCAATTAGGGCCAAGTATCTCGAGTTTAGGGCCTCTCGTGGCAATCCCTCCCCCCCCGCGTCTGTCGCCGCGTATCTCAAACGTGCCTCGGAGGCACGCCGCGCGCCCCCCGCCGCCGCGTTAAGTTCGAGCGCACGTTCCCACGATGCGACTCACGAATCGCCTAGCGCTACCCCCACCCCCGCGCCCGCGTCTATTGCGTCAGCCTCACTGACTTCGTCCGTCGCGACCTCGATCGTCTCTAATAGCTCTGTCTCTAATAGTTCAGGCTCCGATACCGAATCGGAGACGGACTTCGAATCCGCGCCCAGCCCTCAGCCCGGAACCTCGGATGGTTTCCAAACGGTTACCCGCGGTAAGAAACGTACTCGCGTCGTGGAGTCCCGGAGCTCCTCGACAAAACAGACGAAATCCGCGTCCGCCTCTCGACCGAAGGTAGTAGTCACACCGGAGTCGGACTCCGCGCACCGCGTAACCCCACCGCCGCGTCCCAAGCCCGCACCCGCTCCTAAAGTAGCTGCCCCGCCCCCGCTGATACTTCAAGAGAAGACAGCGTGGAATCGAGTGTCCCAGGCCCTTCAGGCAAATAAAATTAACTACACCCATGCGCGTAACGTCGCGCATGGGATTCAGATCAAGGTCGCAACGCCGGGCGACCATAGGGCCCTCTCAGCATACCTCCGAAAGGAGAACATAGGTTTCCACACCTATGCTCTCCAGGAGGACCGCGAGCTCCGCGTAGTAATACACGGAGTACCGAAAGAACTAGACGTAGACTACGTTAAGGAGTATCTGATCGCTCAGTCACTCCCTATAGTTAGTGTGCATCGGATGCACAGTGGGCGGGGCAAGCAGCCCTATAATATGATTCTCGTCGCGTTGGAGCCAACCCCGGAGGCAAAAAAGAAAATCTCATGCCTCTCGACAGTTTGCGGCCTATCCGGGGTCTCCATCGAAGCCCCCCATAAACGTTTTTTTTTTTTTTTTTTTTTTATGATTGAAAGTTTACTGGTGGCCCGAAGGCCTTTCCAGTTTCACCAGGACAGGTGGGCGAGCAAAGGCTCAGCCAAGAGGGGCGGGATTTGCTAACAACTGCCCGAGCGCCTCCGAAGGAGCCCTAACAACTCAAGAGCAATTCCCATAAACGTGGCACTCCCGGGCAGTGCTACAGGTGCCAACTCTATGGCCACTCGGCGCGTAATTGCCACGCGTGTCCCCGCTGCGTGAAGTGCCTCGGCGATCACGCTACGTTAGATTGCTCGCGAGTTAGGGAAACCGCGACCGAACCCCCAAGTTGTGTCCTATGCCTTAAGCAAGGGCACCCCGCGAACTACCGTGGATGTCCTAGGGCTCCGCGTAAACGTTCAACCCACCCAGCTCCGCGAACCGTCGGCCCAAAGACTTCGGCACCTTCAGGGCCGAAACCCGCCTCTGCCGTATACGAAGGCGGGAACGGAAACCGCACCCCCGCCCCCGCTCGTGACATGCCCCGCGCCCCAGCCCCTGCTCGCACCTCGCCCCGCGCCCGCGTTCCGTCCCCCGCAACCCTCTGCCATCAACGACTTCGCGCTCGTGCGCGACTTCGTCACCGTGGTTAACTTCGACCGTCTGCGATCGTTCGCAGACGCGATACGTAGGTCGGTAACCCCCGAACAGCGGCTCGCGGCCGCTTTCGATCACATGGACGTCTACGAGTCCGTGTCTCGCACGTTATAAAAATTCTTTACCGGTAATCAATGGCGCAAAAAGGTAGAGAAAAACCGTATTCCCTTACGTTAGCATTCTACAATGCTAACGGACTCGCGCGGCAACGCGATCAAATTTTCGAATTCCTCNAATGTTCATTTGACTACCATTATTCTTGAATTTTATCCTCCCGGGTAAAAAAAATTATATATTATATAACTATGTATAATTAGGTAGGCAGCGGCTTGGCTCTGCCTCTGGCATTGCTGAAGTCCATGGGGACGGTAACCACTCACCATCAGGTGATTATTGGTTATTACTGGTGGTAGGACCTCTTGTGAGTCCGCGCGAGTAGTTACCATTTATATTATTTTAAACCAAATACTCAAGTTTCCGATAATGTTGTAATTGTGTAATTAAACCGGAAAATTATTGTATGGTATTTTCATTGTCTTTAATTTTTCGATTTTCCAGTTTAACTAGATTTAACCGCTAAGCGTAAAGAGTACACTAATGATTGCGGAGGGATGTCAAATTTTAATTGTTTATTTTCGTATATTTTATTTTTTTACGATCGTTCACCAATGAGTACCTAAATGTAATGATTCACTATAGGAAATAAATCGGGTCTCCAGTTGATCGCTTTCATTCATGTTGTAATGTGTATGAACTCCTCAATACATAAGTGTTCAAGTATCACGCAAGAATAGATGTTGTTTTACTTTCTGAATTGAATCTACTCACGACCTCATAGGCCAACTTTACTTATACCAGAGCTCATAGTCATCATCGCGTGAATCCCATTCGCTTTAAAACTCAGTTGTACCGTTATAGCAATTGTCGAACCTTTCGAACCAAATAGATAGTGCAAGGCACAATTGGGTCGACATAAACACTGAATTACAGTTTATGTGACTTTAATAAAAAATAACATAACAATACCCTTGTAGACTAGCATACGGCCCACCTTTTTTTATTATATATTTTTATTGCTTAAAAGGGTGGACGAGCTCACAGCCCACCTGGTGTTAAGTGGTTACTGGAGCCCAAAGACATCTACAACGTAAATGCGCCACTTACCTTGAGATATAAGTTCTAAGATTTCAGTATAGTTACAACGGCTACCCTACCCTTCAGACCGAAACACATCACTGCTTCACGGCAGAAATAGGCAAGGCGGCGGTACCTACTCGCGCGGACTCACAAGAGGTCCTACCAACAGTAATAACCAATAATCACCTGATGGTGAGTGGTTACCGTCATCCGTACGTCATACCGTAATCAGGTAAAAAATGAATCCAATTATATATGGAAATTGGCCCTATATACTTATAATTATATGTAATGATTTTTTTCCATTTCGTATGAAATAATTTTATTGCCCTTGTAGGCGAGCACACGGCCTACCTGATGGTGAGTGGTTACCGTCGCCCATGGACTTCAGCAATGCCAGAGGCAGAGCCAAGCCGCTGCCTACCTAATTATACATAGTTATATAATATATATGTTTTTTTACCCGGGAGGATAAAATTCAAGAATAATGGTAGTCAAATGAGCATTTTTTTATAAATTAATTTTTAATTATTTACGTGGAAATCAATCGTGAACATATTTGTCAAGTACGTATTTCATTAGAAAAATTGGTACCCGCCGCATCGGCGGGATTAAAAGCCGTTGCATCGCTAGATACGAATGCACCGGACGTCTTATCCTTTAGACCACGCCGACTTCAATAACTATTTATTGAGAAAATCCAGCGAGAAACCCAGTGAGCGGTGTTTGAGGAGCCTAAGAGCACCGAGAGTGGATCCGGGGGATTCGACAAGACATACTTCGAGCGACGACGGCTTTGCGTTGCCCCTTCGCCTGGGTCAGATAGGATTTTGTCATATATAAGTATATTTTTTTTGTTCTACTAACAAATGATTATGATTTGGAAATAACATATTCAGTCAAGTACTGCTTAGCAATAGACATACTCTATTAAATTCACAGATAGCCCCCAATAGATACCGCATTATTCAACATTTGTTTCAATTCGATTTTACCAAATTTTGAGGTAAGCATGGGTGGCGGGGGACGTGTCAAGTGTGATTGGATATCTCAAGGACAAACTTATAATGAATAAAACTATAGTAATGGGGGTTAGCTGTGATTAAAATCAACTAATTCAAAGCAAAAAAGCTCACCACTAGTCTTTTAAAATTGATTAATATTAAAGGAATTGAAACGACAGTTATAAAGGAAATATTACTTTAATGACATTTTAAATTATTTCAAAACAGTGTGTAGTAATTTAGAATGACCAATATAGTTTCTTATTTCGAGATTAATTAAAATAAAATATGTGTCTTGGTCCCTTTGTAGTAACATCGGAAGATCTCGAAGGCTTTATCGGCTGCGCCTTGGCCGGTCTTATTCTTGCACTGTTTTAGTACGCTTTGGGCTTCAGATTTATTAACACCAGGAGGAAGTTTTGCTAGCGCAACATCCATGTTCAGTGTACCATCTGAGTTGAAGATTGCGGATTTTTTGAAAAAGCAAAGCACGAAGTTCTTAAAAGCTTTATCTTTGGAGTACTTTCCAATCTTCGCTGCATTTATCGCTTCGGTGCTCACGCCAGATTCTCTAACACATTCTGAGGTGTACTGCTTAGCTTTTTCTTTTTGAGTTTCAGCAAGGTGGACGTTCTGTGAATATGATAAAATAATTATCATTTGTATTGTGTTAGAAACATTGCTCTGTACATAATCTAATTTGTTTTATACTATTAGGAAACTTGAAAAGTTTGTAATCGAGACCTAGTCAATACTAGTACTACTATTAGTTAGCAATAAACCGAGAGATACAAATGAAAATAAAGTTAACAATGAACTAGTGTCAAAAAACTCCGAACATGTTTACCACCTACGCGAGACTAATATTACTAGCCTAACAACAGAATCAGGTAAATAGCACCAGTTAAATTTAATCGGCAGAAATATATAGTGTCCGCGATTCTTTCATAGTGAGAAAAAAGTTAAACAGTAGTAAAATTTTAAAAAAAGTGGAGAGACATCACTCTTATTATGTATTGATTACAAGATAAATGAAGAGTTAGGGGTTGAGCATAGTAGAGTACAGTACAGTATGTTTGTACACTAAAATAAACACAAATTAAAAACATTAAAAAAAAAAGGATAATGGCTAAAAGCGATTTCTTCCAGACAACCATCAGGTAGACAAAATTCGGTAAATATCGGTTGAAAAAATATAATATTGATAAATATGAACTTTATAATGATAATATTGCCACATTACACATCAATGGTTGACCACAAATCAGGTTTAACCCATTTTAAAGTGAATGAATGTATAAAAATGCACGATATTTAGGTACCAGGAGGGTTCACTGAAAGAAGCCTAATGAATCGGGTACGTATTTGCGATAGTCTATTGAAACGTAATGGAATAGAATTTTTTTTTTTACCAACACCGGTGATGAAAAGCGAGTAACCTATAATCTATACTAATATTATAAAGAGGAAAGATTTGTTTGTTTGTTTGTTTGTATTGAATAGGCTCCGAAACTACTGAACCGATTTGAAAAATTCTTTCACTGTTTGGAAGCTAAATCATTCGCGAGCGGCATTGGCTTCTTTTTTTTTAAAAAATAGGGATCTTTACTAAAACTCCAATAATTTATAATGTAACCCAAGGTGTAAAAAAATGAACTAAAATATTCTTTACATGGCGTGCCCTGCGAAAACTATTCATGATAGAATAAAATAATGTACTACCTCCGAATTTGTAGAACACATTATTAATTACAAAAAGTTTCGCGACAGCATATATCTAACTATTATACTTATAGTTATGCCGCAATAAGTGTTATTTTATTTAAGAAACTAAAACAACGTCAAATATCGTTGAAATATTTGTTAAAGACCCGAGCGGAGCCGGAGCGGGACGCTAGTACAAAATAAAATAAAAATAATTATGGTCAAAGGCCTGTCAAATTCCACAGACTATTGCAGAGCCTGGATTAATTCGCAAGTGATGCAATGTGTGTGATGGGATAGATAGAGCATCGTTCATTGTAAGCTTTGACCGCCGAGCAAATCATCGTCTCGAAACTCCACTGCCGGCGCCAAATGAGAGCCTCAAGTAAGAAGTGGAGAGAAAGGGTGTGGTTTTTTAACACAATAATGCCAGACTACACATATCTTTAGCCTCCGGATAATATTAAGAGACTTTCGTTCGGAAGTCTAGAAGTTGTTAAGTTTATATAGCCGTGACTTTGCACCCGATTTTCATCTATGCATCCGTTCAAAATTCTTAAGCTGGGTTAACATCAAAAAATATCTGTCAAAACTCAGTTTTTTATAGTACTCTAAAATTTTCTAGAACAATAGCTAGGTATATGTAACTACCTACATATGTAGGTTTTTAACTTAAAATTCAATTTTTTAAATGTCAAATTTCTATTTCTATCCCGAGTAAAAACAGAATTTAGCCGAATCACCGTCGAAGCACCGCCGCACCATAGCCGCGACTGTTTAATAAGAGTGGGTTCGCTGCACTACCGCCGCACCGGATGCGTTACCACCCGTCACCCCGATGGAAGTTAAAGACTTGATCAAAGACCTACGTCCTCGCAAGGCTCCCGGTTCCGACGGTATATCCAACCGCGTTATTAAACTTCTACCCGTCCAACTCATCGTGATGTTGGCATCTATTTTCAATGCCGCTATGGCGAACTGTATCTTTCCCGCGGAGGTGTGGAAAGAAGCGGACGTTATCGGCATACATAAACCCGGTAAACCAAAAAATCATCCGACGAGCTACCGCCCGATTAGCCTCCTCATGTCTCTAGGCAAACTGTATGAGCGTCTGCTCTACAAACGCCTCATAGACTTCGTCTCATCCAAGGGCATTCTCATCGATGAACAATTCGGATTCCGTACAAATCACTCATGCGCGTTCAACAGGTGCACCGCCTCACGGAGCACATTCTTGTGGGGCTTAATCGACCAAAACCGTTATACACGGGAGCTCTCTTCTTCGACGTCGCAAAAGCGTTCGACAAAGTCTGGCACAATGGTTTGATTTTCAAACTATTCAACATGGGCGTGCCGGATAGTCTCGTGCTCATCATACGGGACTTCTTGTCGAACCGCTCTTTTCGATATCGAGTCGAGGGAACCCGCTCCTCCCCACGACCTCTCACAGCTGGAGTCCCGCAAGGATCTGTCCTCTCACCCCTCCTATTTAGCTTATTCGTCAACGATATTCCCCGGTCGCCGCCGACCCATTTAGCTTTATTCGCCGACGACACGACTGTTTACTATTCTAGTAGAAATAAGTCCCTAATCGCGAAGAAGCTTCAGAGCGCAGCCCTAGCCCTAGGACAGTGGTTCCGAAAATGGCGCATAGACATCAACCCAGCGAAAAGTACTGCGGTGCTA